GTGTGTGGATGTGTGGGCATTGTCATTAGGCTAATTCCCGCAAATTATGAGTAATAATAGCGCAGCCATTCTCGCGGCATTCTTGACCCAGTTTGACTCAGAATTAGCTTACTATTTTGGCCCGAACTGGCTGTTTTACCCGCTCCGTTTTTCTTTTCTTTATTGCAGAACATGGAGCTGAGCAACTTTTCAAGCGGCAAGAAGATGTCACGCGAGGAGCGACGCTACTCGGTGCCCCACGGACCCAATACTCCACTGCCACCTGCGGCATCCGAGGATCTGCATGCCTGGTCCATCTACAGGTGAGTGGTTAAGTGGGGAGCCCCCGAAACGCAGCTTTAATAGCCAGACATGGGTGTGGTCAATGGGACGGATGACGGATGGAAGGGGTAGAGGTGACCACACCTGTCGATCGAAGTTTTGACGCTTGACTTAGCCGCAGCCCTAGCGGAAGTTCAAATGCCATAAATGGCTAATTGAAGAGCCCATGGCCAAGCCTCCAATCATGTCCAGCTGACCGCAACTGCAGCCGCCCAGTGCAACTCTCTTTTCATATTCAAATACCCCCTCCTTCCTTCAATAGGCAAAACCTCAACTCCGACTTCACCGACTCGGCTCTGGGCTCGTCGGACAAATCACCGCTGCCATATGGAAACTTCCAGCTACGCGATACCACAGTTCAATCAATCTTAAATCATCCGCGCTACGGACCCAAGTGAGTGTAATCCCACAAATTTTCTAAATAAACAATTATTAAGCATAATCAAGCGTCGATATTGGCATATGAACTCAGCATTTAGAGTTGAGAGTTTTTTGTGAACATTAAACATTTGGGAAAAAAAAGATGATTAACAAAAAACACAAGTTACCTTTATCGCTTAACTTTTCATAGTTTCACAGAAAGGCAACTTATTGCTATACAAATGTTTTCGAATTTTAGCTATTGCATTTAAAGTATTTAACATTTTCTGGATAAGTGTAACATTTTGGGAACTAAAGAATAAACAATTTATTGAAAATAGCAATGGAATATAAACTAAATTAACATTGAATACTTAAAGAGTATATTTCTCTTTGCCTGTATGTTAAAATATATATCAAATGTTAAATGTTTATTCTATATAATCATCATTAATTTATCACAAAACCAACCTTTTTTACACCTTTACAGATCTCCATTGGGCTCAAATATGTACACATACTTGAAGTTTGGACTGCCGCGCGTCTTTCCGCCGAATGCCGGATCGCAGCGGTCGCATCGCCCAGGTCCGGGACCTGGTCCGGGATCGGGTCCCGGTCACGGTGCCTCCAGTGCGCTGGGCGGAGTGCGTGGTCGGGTCAACCGCGCCTTCCGCGACAGCTCGGCGGGTGCGGTGGGCGTGGTCGGCGCCGGGAGCAGTGGCTACGACAGCAGCGACAACGAGACGACCCGCAGCCGGGTGCCGCCCAATCTGCGGAAGTACCGCAGCGAGTCGGACTTCCGAGCCATCGGCGGCATGCCGCACTCGCGTCCGGAGTCGCGGGCTCAGATGGGAGGAGGAGGAGGAGGTGTCCCAGTGGCCGCTTTGCGCCAGGCCAATAGCCGGGCCAGCATTGCGGTGGGCCAGCACCATCACCACCAGATGCAGCAGCAGCAGATGCACCAGCACCACCAGCAGTACATGGGCAATGGGAAGCACTACGGGCACAGGTCGCACAGCGAGGCGGATCTGTTGGGAGCGGGACTGAGCCAGGTAGACGGAGGTGGAGGCCTGGGCTATGACTTCAACGAGGCGCGGTTGTACGGCAGCTCCAGGCAGTACGGCAACGGGAATGGTCACGGAAATCATCACGGACAGCCAGGCAGCCGCAAGCAGTCGGGCATGGGTCTGATCTACCCCAACATCCAGGTGCACTGCCTCGATGTGAATCCCTGCCTGCGCGGCGTGTCCATGCAGGCCAAGGCGGGGGATCTGTTCGCCATCATGGCCACGTCTCAAAGGGAGGGCAGTGCTCTGGCCGAGTGCCTGGCGGGATTGAGTGAGCGGCTGGGCGGCGAGATCCTCATCAACGGTCAGCAGATGAGTCGGCGAGGACTGAGGGAGCTGTGCAGCTATGTGCCCGCATTGGAGGTCTCCTCCCTGGATCCCCGCATGAGCGTCCAGTGCACCCTGAATTTCCATGCCGCGCTGCGAGGTCCGCTGGATCGCAGCGATCTGGAGGAGCGCATGGATGTGCTCATAGAGGATCTGGGGCTGAACACGGTGCGTGCCTCCAATGTGTCCACTTTAACCCACTCGGAGAAGCAGCGCTTGAGCGTGGCCTGCCAGCTGCTGGCACAGTCCTCGCTGCTGATCCTCGATCAGGTGACCAGCAACATGGACATCTTTGATACCTTCTTCCTGGTCGAGTACCTGCGGCAGTGGTGCAGCGGCGGGCGCATCGTCATCATGACCCTCCAGCCGCCCACCTTCGAGATCCTGTCCATGTGCTCCGGCGTCCTGCTGCTCTCCGGCGGCAGGACCGTCTTCTCCGGCAGTCGGGCCGACCTGCCGCGGCACATGGGCGAGCTGGGCTATCCGTGCCCGCCCTTCAAGAACCCGGCGGACTACTACTGTAAGTTGTGGGAATAAAATCTATTATATGATAGTTTTTTTTTTAATTCAAAAATCCGATATTAATAATATTTGGTGGTTATTATATTTCAATAACGATTATTTTGGTCCTTGATTTTAATGGTAAGCATTGAATATACTTCTAGTGGACCTGGTGACCCTGGATGACCTTTCGGCGGCCGCCATGCTGGAGTCCTCGGCCCGCATCGATTCGCTGGCCAATGCCTGGGACCAGATCAACTCGGAGCCCCCACTGGCCGCCCCGCCCGCCTCGCTGCCCAACTTCACGCTGAAGTCAGGCTTCTTTGGCCAGATCAGCGCCCTGATCAAACGCTTTGCCGGCTACAAGCAGCCGGGATCCCTGCTCACCTGGATCAGCAAGCTCATCGCAGCAGCGGTGCTCTCCCTGTGCATCGGCTGCATCTTCTGGGACGTGCCCGCCTCCGATCCGCAGCTGAGCTACCACGACCGGCTGGGCTACCACCACTGCGTCATGGTGCTGGTGTACTGGCCACTGGTGATGCTCACCATCCGGGACACGCAAGAGGATCGCCGCCATGCGGAAAGGGACATCCGCCTGGGGCTGTACACCAGGAGTCTCTACATCATTGTGCAGGTAAGGGAAACAACAAGGAACAATCCAAAAAATATCTATATAAAATATAAAATCATAATGTTAAACAAAGCATATTCAATTTCTTTATTTAATACTAAAATATTTGAGCTATGGTATTTATTTTAAATGCCTTAAATGAAAGTCTCTAATCTTTGAGCATAACATAAATGGCGTTCCATTTCCTGTTATTTTAGACATTGATATAAAATGGAGTATTTAACATGAGTATCAGACGATTAAACTCCAAAGTTAATTTAGCATATTTTAATTAGATATAAAATTGTTTGATTAAATACAATGCATATAAAATTGTTCATAATCAATTTAAATCATTTTCGCATTGATTTTCATCCATTATTATTTTGAATTATTTTAACCTGACTTAGACTTAACACTTTTTTTATTCAGTGGAGATATGAACTCTACACAATTTTAGGCCATAAATCCCCATGGTTCTGAATTTAATTCTCCCATCTTACAGAGTCTTCTGGGCCTGTTCCCCAGCCTTTGTATCTGGCTGGCCTATCTGTTGCCGGCCCACAGCATGGCAGGACTTTACACCTACTCGAACAGCAGCGATACGGGCATATACTTGTACATGGGTTAGTAGCCTTGACAACCAAAGACTATTACACTAAGCTAACCAAGCCTCTTAATCCGCAGGCTACATGCTGCTCTACTTGACGCTCATCCAGACACTGGCCCTGTTCTGTGCCCACCTGCTGCCCTGCAAGGTCTCGGCCAGCCTGGTTAATGGGCTGATCAGTCTGGCAGTGGCGGCGGTGGGCGGCTACCTGGTGCATCCCCAGAACCTGGCCCAGTTCTGGTCCTGGCTGCAGTTCTTGTCGCCGGAACGGTGGCTTCTGCCCGTCCTGGTGCAGGATGAGTACAGTGCTGAGACGTTGTCCAACTCCGCCGGACTGCAGTTGTGCCGCAACAAGCAGGTGGGTGTCATTAGGGATCTCAAAGTAATGATGACAAATAATGTTTTTTTTTTAAGAAAAAAAACAAAATCAAAAATAGTCATTATTTTTAATAAAAAATAAGCAAACCAAAGAAATTTTGAATATTGCTTAACATTTCTGTTGAGCAAGAAAGTAATCATTCATTTTTGTAAAAACAAAAACTCAACAAAACTTAAATTCATCTTTATCTTTGAATCTGCGGCTTCTGTGTGCATTTGATGATTTCATGATATGTAAAGCGCTGTCAAAACAAATCATTAAAGTGTCGGTTCAAAAGCTTATTTAAAAGTATCTTTAAAATTGTGACACGGGAGCCCAAGTTTCAAACTACTTTGTATTTTAAAGAACATTCTACAAATTAAAATTTGTCAATTTAAAGTGATTGATTTTTGTTGTTCAAAAAACACGTAATTAAACATTATTTGCAATTGTCATACTGAATTCTAACAACATATATTTACTTCAAAACAGGTGCAGCACCAGGAGATCATTGTGCAGCAGCCCTGTCCGCCGCCCAACGGCACCCAAGTGCTAGTCGACTTCGAGCTGCTGCCACAGCAGCACGTGCTGGACCCCACTCCCAGCTACGACCAGACCACCTCGGTGGCCCTGGTCCTGGCCTCGGTGCTCGTCTTCTGCGCCACCTTCATCGTCTTTTTGTGCAATTGTCGCAGGGCCTGTCGGAGGCAACGCAGCCGATAGGCTGCGTCCGCGACCAGGAGCTGGCCAGGATCTGCAACACGGATGTCCCATGGTCCAGGCTCCGGAACTGTACATTCCATAGAAACTAATTCTTGAAATAAATAGTGTTTAGTCGATGCAGCGTTCGTTTAACTAACTAAAGGCAAGTGATTTTTATTGTGCTTGGAATGATTATAAGGCAGTTGGTTGGGGTTGGTTTAACAAAGTTTTGTATATCTATAAAAGTTCTTATCGCACTAAATAGGTTATCAAAAATAGTTCGTATAAAAGTGTAATATTAAATTGTCTTTTCTTATGTAGACCACCTTGAGAAACTTTGTAAACCTATAAGAAGTTTATAAGAAGAAGTCTAGCAGACCATTAATGGGCTCATGTATTAATGCTAAATATTTGAAAGGTGTATTCGACTTGCGAAGCTCAAATTTAAATTGAATTTTATGGAATCCAAAAGCAAGATAGAATTTAATGGTGGAACAATCGCAGATTAGTGTGGGCCATTATGATGCCATGCTCATCGCAGGCGGCAATGACACCAGCATCATTGGTCGATCCTGCAGGACTGGCAATGTAAGAGACTCCACTCTGTGAAAATTAAAGGAGTTAAAATTGATACAAAAGTACTACTATTTAACTAACCAAACTAGCGCGATCGATATTGTCACGGAAGGGGAAGAAGGCATCGGATCCCAGGGCCACGCCGCTGAGCTGCTTCAACCACTCCACCTTCTGCTCGCTGGTCAGTTGAGCCGGAGCCTTATCGAACCTACACACACATTATAGATTGAAATGAGAGCTACAAAATATGGAATATATCCTCCACTTACATTCCCTCGAACTGCGACAGAGGCATGTCCTTGCCAACTGTTCCATTTACATAGTTGTCAATGGCATTGGAGATCTCGGCCCGCTTCACGCCCGCCTTGAACTTCATGCCGGCCACGCTGGGATGCTGGCGCAGCCACCAGTTGTCTGCCTTTTCGCCGGCGAGACGGGTGCAGTGAATCCTCGACTGCTGGCCGGCTCCGATGCCCACAACTTGGCCATCACGGGCATAGCAGACGGAGTTGCTCTGCGTGTACTTCAGGGCTATGGTGGCCACAATCAGATCCCGCACAGCCGCCTCCGGCAGAGGACCACTTTTGGTCACCACATTGGCAAAGAGCGAGGCGCCAATGACGGCATCGTTGCGTTTCTGCTCCAGCGTCAGGCCGAAAATGGTCTTGCGCTCCACTGCAGAGGGTTCGTAGTTGGGATCCATCTGAAATTGAAAGTTTAGAAGGGCATAATAATTATTTGACATAAAATTTACCTGTAGGATGCAGTATCCACCGTTCTTCTTTTTCTTCAGGATCTCCAAAGCTTCTGGTTCGTAGCCAGCGGCAATGATGCCATCGGACACCTCGCGGGAAATGATCCTGGCAGTGACCACATCGCACACATCGGACAGGGCCACAAAGTCGCCAAAGGAGCTCATGCGATCGGCTCCACGGGCACGGGCATAGGCGGTAGCCAGCGGAGTCAGCTGCTCGTACAGGTCGTCCACCATGCAGAGCTTGGCCTGGGCGGGATTAAGGGGCACTCCCACAGCCGCTCCCGCGGGAGACACATGCTTGAAGCTGGTGGCTGCTGGCAGTTGCAAGGCTTGCTTTAGTTCACGAACCAACTGCCAACCATTGAGGGCATCGCACAGATTGATGAATCCCGGCGAGGCATTCAAAACCGTAAGTGGCAGCTTGGCCAACTGAGTATACAGCTGAGCCGGCTTCTGGTGGGGATTCATGCCATAGCGCAGCGGCAACTGGGACACACCAGATCCATACTGCTTCCGGAAGTAGTCCGAGATGGCGTCATCATAGCTGGCCGTGTGGGTGAATGCCTTGAGGGCCAGGGCTTGTCTTAGATCCAGCGTGGTATCACCCGAAGCCCTCAGCTCCGCCAGCACTCGCTCGTAATCCACCGCCTCGCAGATGACCGTGACCCTTTGGTGATTCTTGGCTGCTGCCCGCAGCAGAGTTACTCCACCGATATCGATGTTCTCCACAGCGTCGGCCAGCGTGACATCCGGTTTGGCTATGGTGCTGGCAAAGGGGTATAGATTGCAGACCACCAGTTGGACCAGATCGTAGCCCTGCTTACGCATATCAGCCAGATCGGAGTCGCTGGTGCGGGAAAGTATTCCAGCGTGCACGGCCGGATGCAGTGTCTTCACACGGCCACCCAGCATTTCCGGGGCTCCGGTAATCTCAGAGACATCCCTTACTTTAAGGCCAGATGCTCTTAAAGCGTTTGCAGTGCCTCCACTGGCCACCAGGTCAAAGCCCAGGGCCACCAGGCTCTTGCCCAAATCGAGCAGTCCCGTCTTGTCCGACACACTGAGGAGGGCTGTGGGGGAATTGAGGATTCCTAGTGATTATCTATTGGCAAGGGATTGCCAAGAAGACTCACCAATCTTGCTCGAGCTCATGGTTGATGTCTTCTGGTGTTTCTGCTGGCTGCGTCTTAACCGCTGGGCAACTGAAATGCAAATGAAAGGCGAGAATAGTCAATGTGGGCTGGTTGCTGTTTGCTGGCTGTTCGGAGTGCACAAACATGTTTACGCGTTTTCGCTTTTCTGGCTAGGCAACGACCTCCCCTGCGGTCTACGATCTACGGTCCCCATCAGCGAGGTGTAGGGTTATCAGATACGGCTCAAAACCGCTTGCATCAGCAGCCGATTCAAAACAACAACAAATGACTCAAATTTACGTAGGTTCATTTATTGCCAAGCGTTGTTGTTTGGTTTTACAATGCCTTATCAGTATCTTTGACTTGGCTGGGGGGTAGCTGAACCTCGTCCGCCTTCTGTTTCTTTGCAACAAGTTGATCCGTTGATAGCTTCTCTCTCTTGCGCTGCCCCTCCCTCCTCCTTTTGTGCTTATTCGACTTGAGATGCAATCCCCATTGGTATTCGCCGATGAAATGCCTCTCGCAAGTCGCGCAAAAGTGGCTAGTCTCCTCATTAAAATCCGCTCCAGGATGCTCTCTCTTGGGCATGGGCTCCAACCCACTTTCCTCATCCCTGCGATAGCTCTCGATGATCGACTCTGCCCGCTGATACACTGCCTCCGGCCAGGCAGCCACATCGCTAGTGTCCAGTTCATAAAGATCCGGCACTTGGCGATCCTTGCTGGCCAGAAACCGATTGTTGATCCACTTGAGCTGCTTCTTGGAGTAGCGACGCGTGACCAACTTGAGTTCCTCGCAGCAATTGCGCAGGAGATCCAAGCCATCTGGAATATCTGGGCCCCCATCCTTAAGTTCTTCTTGACTTGGCAGCTTGTAGCTATGTTTGCGCAGGTACTCCTCTATCTTTTTATCTTGGTTTGGGTCATGTTTAAGCAGGTAGGGCACAAACTCCTTATAGCCAATAGTCTGCACGACACCCGAGGTGTAGGCCTGAACTGTCGTGGTTTGGTGGGCATTATGGAACTGCCGCAACTCGCGGAGAAGTCCTTGGGCCAGCATTCCATCCACCCGGTTGTCCAAGCGGGCATTTAGCACTTCCTGCTGGCACCGCAGCCATAGGAGTATGATGTGTGGATAGCGCAGAGGTCCCCCCAGACGGTTTCCCCCCGGTTGGGCTCGCTGCTCCGCCAACTTCTCGGTTAGAGTCTGTCCCGATCCCTGATAGACTTCGATGGCTCTGAGGATCTTGCGCCGATTGTTGGGGTGAATGCGGTTGGCACTACCGGCGTCTATCTGGGCCAGGTGATTATGTAAGTCCAGGGTGGACATGGCATCTAGATCAGGCTGTTTTAGGTGCTGCTCTGGGGGAGAGGTGCCCTCCTCATTCTGCGAGTCCACAAGGACATCCCAAAGCAGGGATTCTATGTAGTAGTTGGTGCCGCCCACTACAATTGGCGGAGTATCCTTGGCCAGCAGGCGATCCACAATCGGCAGAGCGGCGTTGCGAAAGTGGGTGACGGTAAAGGGTTCCGCTGGAGTGGCCACGTCCAGCAGATGGTGTCGAGCTCGGGATTGCTCCTCCTTGGTGGCCTTGGCGGTGGCGATGTCCAGGTGCGTGTACACCTGCATGGAATCGGCGCTGATTATCTCTCCACCGAAGCGTTCGGCCAGCTCCAGAGAAAGCTTCGTCTTGCCGGTGCCCGTGGAGCCCAGGATCACAATCAGCGGCACTTTGCGTATCATATCGTCTTAATTGGTTGCAATTTAAGTCAATCAAAAGTAAACAAAACCCACACGTTTTTGAGCACGTGTATTCCTCAGGGGACCAAAAACCACCTGTTGCCGCTTGTTATTTTTGTTGGTTTTATAGGATTTAAGTACTCTCTTCCCTTATTTTTAAGATTAAATAACTATTCCTATTAAATTGTTTTTTTTTGGGCCCTACACTTAGTTGTTTAAACTTACAAGTCGAAAAATAAACGTATGAATTAAAGGGGGAAAGTGTGACCACCCAGGATTTTGATGTGGACTGTAATGCCAGTGCTGCCCTCTGAAGTTAAGCAAATGCGCAAATTTTAAAATATTGTACAGACAACAATAAACGATTTGGTAGAAAAAATAGTTGGTTTATTATATATGTTACATTGCAATATAATTGCAATTTAAAGGAAGCCCAAAGGATAAATGCCAACAAACATAATTTAATTATTTATTTTAATGAAAATTAACTTTATAGTATATATAAAGCTAAGCTTTTAGTTTTGTAGTTTCACTTATTTATTTATTTTTGACAAGCTAGACACCTATTGTATGCTAGACTAAGAAACTAAGATCAGAAGGAACTGCGTTCTTATACAATTTTTTATAAATGTTTGGGCCCAAAAATAATGATTGGATTAGTTAAACATGGTACAAAAACTGACCCTAAAAGTCTCTAAAAATATATATTATATATATGATGATATATGAAAGCTTTAAAAATAATGATAATAACATATTTGTACCTTTATTGTTTTTGGACAACAATTATTATCCCAAACGATATATCGCTGGAATGATTCCACAAAATTTTGCCCATCCCTATCCGGCAGTGCCATCTCCAAATCCTTCGGCTCAGTGTGACCAGAGCACCGCGTCAGACCAATCTCGCACGGGCACCTAGTATCGTATATCTTTCGTGCATTCTTTTAATTTACCTGCAGTTCGGTTCCGAATAATACAATTGGATCAATCAAATCGGTTTGATATTAAACACTCGCTGGCCCAGCAGAACGTGGAGCGGACTAAAACGCCAGGTGCTCTGCTTTCCTTCGATTAGCCGCACGGTGCGACTTTCACTTTTTACAATTCGCACAAGAAAAACCACAACGACAACAGCGACTAGAGACCAGCGACAGCAACAACAACAAAAGTAGCTGCAAAAGCAACAAAAAAAGAGACGACGAAGAGCGATGAGTGTGGAAAGTACCAGAGCGGACAACATCAGGCCACAGCAGAGTGCATCGAGAATTGTTTAAAATCGCTGGATTGCACGGCAAATGCCAAGCGAAATAACAATAACAAACCAGCACAACAGGGCCGCCCGCCTGTGTGGGTGTGCGTGTATGCGTGTGTCCGTGTCCGTGTAAGTTCCAGCGAGAGTGCGAGTGTGTGTGTGTGTGTGAGTACATTGAGTACTTTTTGTGGCCCCAAAACATTTTGTGTGTGTACGTGGTTTGGATTGGATTCGCCATCCGAACCAGACCGCCGAATTGGGTCAGCTCAATAAAATCCACACCATGGAGAGCAGGACCCAGATGAATCAGACGAACCAGCAGCAGCAGCAGCGGAATCGCCTGCCCTCCTCGCCGAGTCCGCCATTGAGTGTGAATCTCAGCGGCGGCCCGAATGCCAACACCACTTTAATGGGCCTGGAGCAGGATGCAGTGGCTCCGCCGCAGCTGGGCAGGAATAACAACAATGGGGGAGGCGGCGGCGGACACCATCGCAGCCACAGCATAACCAATGCGGCGGCCACATCCTTTGTGAATCTCCTGGACGGGTTCACGGCCCGCGTTTCCACAGCAGTGAGCGTGGCAGGCGGCACCAGTGCCTCCAACATGCTGATGGACCGCAGCAGCCAGAGCGCAGCCAGCACGCCCGGATCGACGCACTCCATAGCCAGCCTGACCAGCATGGGCTCGCTGGGCACCACGGCTAATGCCCTGTACTCCTCCATCGGCAGTGCGCTCAACTCCATCACCTCACCCATTCAGGCAGTGGCGGCGGCGGCCACGGCCACAACCACGGAGGTAGTAGTGGCCGCCGCCTCTGTGATCACCAACCACCTCAGCTCACCCACCAGCGGCACTCCGCCCCATGGACTGGACTCGGACGAGGGCGACCATGAGTGCGACGATTGCGAGGAGGATGAGGACGACCCGGTGGACAACGACGGGCACATTGCCGCGCCCACGCCCAACAAGAGCTGGGCCGAGAACAAACTGGTGGTGCAGGAGATGCGCAAGAAGATGTGCAATCTCTCATCCATGGTGCCCACTAATGTGCAGTTCCGCCACCTGTCCGATGGCCGTGCCAGGTGCTACTTCCTGGGCACTCCGCCGCAGAGCTGGGAGACCACGCTGCTCTTTGCGGACATCAATATGCTGCAGTCGGAGGAGCAGCAGCTGTTGGTGCAGCGCCTGGAGGCGAGTGCTGAGTCTGGAATCGGCAGTCCCACACTCACACACGCAGGATCCCCCACGAGCAGCAGTAGTCAGCACCCAGCCTTCCTCTTCAACTCCCTGCTCAGGCCTAGGTGGGTTTATAATCCTTAACCTCTGCCAACTAAAGCTAATAGTGTCTTTTCCCAACAGACTCCCATGGAGTCCTCTGCTGCAACAGCCCATTCAGAGCAGTGGCGGCAGCGGAGGCAGTGGATCGGCCAGTCCATATGCCCGGGAGTTCCAGCTACTGCAGGAGCGCAAGCGCCTCTCCACCTGGGGCATCACCTGCTACGAACTGCACAAGCCATCCGGCAAGCTGGTCTTTCCCTGCTTCAACGACCTGTACCAATGCCTGGACACAGGATACAATGTGAGCTACTAGTGATTCTAAAAGAGCTAATATTCCTTTTTACTAGTCGTTTACTTTGTGCATAATCCAAACATTACATGACATTTGAGTGACAGTTCTTGCAAGAAATTCGAATATAAATATATAGAAGTAAAAACATGCCACTAAACAATTTGGCAGATTCCCAAAATTCAATTTAAGACAAATTTTTGATTGCTGCATATAATTGTAATGCATTTAATAGTTTAATTTTCGTCCCAAAAGAAACATATATTTTATATCACTAAATAATTTTGGTTTCTAAACATAATTCAAATTTTATGATTTTACTTTCCACAAACAGTCTGGACTGCTGTTTCCCACGCAGCTACGCACCTGCCCGCAATGGACGGCCCTCGATCCGCAGATTTGTCCGCAGAACTCCGACATGATAGCCTACATCAGCGACTGCGATCTGTTCGTCACCCACACGCTGAGTGGGCACGAAAAGCGGCTCACTTACACATCCAGTGGGCGGCACTCGTATGTAGACGATGCGCTAAGCGCCGGGGTGCCCTCTTACGTGATGCAGGAGGAGTTCAGCCGCTACCAGGGCTTCTGGTGGCAGCCACATTCCAATGACGGCATCTACCGCATTGTCTACGAGGAGGTGGACGAGTCGGAGGTATCTGTGTACACATTTCCCTCGTCGACGGCGGTGCACGGCCGCGTGGACGAGTATCGCTTTCCGCGCACCGGCAGCCCCAATGCCAAGTCCAAGCTCAAGCTCGTCCAGTTCGTACTGAACGAGGCACTGCAAGTCAGCGAGATCGCGATCAAGGATCTGCCCTACTCCCTGCTAGCCGTCTTTAGCTGGCTGGAATACATTGTGCGTGTCGGTTGGACCCCGGATGCCAAATAGTAAGTAGAGTACTACTAGAGTACTAGAGTACTTGATTGTATAATAGTTTTTGCATGCATACTTCAATGTTTGCTTAAACAATTTCCCATGAAATAAGTATACAACTAATTGTTCATATTTCTCCCCAACTAGCGTATGGGTACAGGGCCTGGATCGGAAGCAGCAGCGTCTGGATGTAATCCTCATACCGCTGGATAACTTCTGCGAGTCCTACAGCAGTCAGGTGTCCACTCCGACCGACTCCATAGGCGACCACAGCTGGCGCAGTCTGTATAGTCGCACAATAACACCACTACAGGTTATATACACGGAGCGCTCTGAGAGCTGGATCAACGTGCACGATATGCTGCATTTCCTGGAGGTGACGGAAACGAACGTAACCTTTCTGTGGGCATCGGAGGAGACGGGCTTCCGGCACCTCTACTTGGTGACCGCCAGCCTGTTGTTGAGCCAAGCAAATGGCCAGGCGGACGCCGGATCGGCTGCAGCCCAGCCCAGTTTCGTGGAACAATCGGCGCTGCAGCCACGCATACTCAATAAGGTGGCCCTGACCACCGGAGAATGGGAGGTGCTGGCCAGGAGCCTGTGGGTGGATAAGGTCAATAAACTGGTGTACTTTGTGGGGCTGCGCGATACGCCGCTGGAGAAGCATCTCTACGTTGTCAGTCTGGAGCGGCCCGAGCAAATCCGCCTACTAACGGAGCCAGGATACTCTTACCTCGTGGAGTTCGACGATGTACGTATGATCAGAGAAGTTCTAACCAAAATAGGCCTTCTTCAAAAAAATTTAATTTACCGCTCGCTTTTTTCTTAGTTTTCTTTTAAAACTCTAAAGTTAAATGTGTGAAATAGGACTCGAATAAGTATGCTATGTTTTTATTAGACTTTTAAATTTATGTTTCCTTTTTCTCTTTCCCACAGCAATGCCAGTTGATGCTGCTGGTCTACTGCAACATCCAGCGGTTGCCCAGTTGCAAGGTGATGCGCGTCAATCAGACGTGCCAGAACGGCGGAGTCAATGGCATTCAAATATCCTTAGTGGGATACCTTCACGAAGGCGGCAAGCCGGAGCCGCAGTACTGCCCACAAATCTTCCGGCCACAGTTACCGTCGGGCGATATAGTTTATGCCATGGTCTTCAAACCGCACAATTTTGAACTGGGTGTCAAGTATCCCACGGTGCTCAATGTTTATGGAGGACCCGAGGTGCAGACCGTCAACAACACATTCAAGGTAGCTAAGTCTTAAGCTGGAAGTTGTTGTTCGTCAACTAACGACTTATTTCTTAGGGAAAACACCAACTGAGAATGCATATGCTGGCCGCCCAGGGATACTGCGTGATCTGCATTGACTCGCGAGGATCGCGCCATCGGGGCAAGCGGTTCGAGAGCCACATTCGCGGTCGCATGGGCCAGGTGGAGCTGACTGACCAGGTGGACGCCCTGCGCATCTTGGCCGACCAGCTGGGCTACATAGACATGGACCGCGTGGCCATTCATGGATGGTCTTACGGTAAGTTGGGGAGCTAA